GTAGCAGGTTCTCTCATGTGCCACCAGAGTTTCTTCCCTTACTCACTATATTTGACTGTATTTGACTCCATCTATGGACAACTGGTACAACCTGTTTTGGTTTTAGGGAAAATTATTAGGGCTAAGAGCAAAGTTGTTTATTTTTGTCATACAAATTTCCGAGGAGATGTTTAGATAAGCAATTCATGGTTTTCTTTGATGTCAAGTTATCAGCTTCAAAGTATAACATTTAAAAATAATTTTATGTGGTTTCTATTATTTTGTCTGTCTTGTATGCACTGAGGCTTATTTTAAGATGTCTCTTCTGTTTTTGAACATTTTTGTAAGATGGTCAAGTTAGATGTTTGTCCTTTGTGATAAAACTCAATTTCTTTATATAAATATCCCAGACTTTATTGATTATTGTATCAGACAGTGGTAACATGAATGCATTACTCTTCATTACGTGACATTTACCGAGAGTCCAAGGTTGATGACCACTCCTAATCTTTCTGAGAATAGGCTTTTGTTTTTCCTCTCTCCTTTGTAACTCTCTTTAAAAAAAAAAAAAGATTACACTTTGTAAATTGAATATATTTGGCTGGATGGGAAGTGGTTAGCACTGTTTCTTCTGCATGGTTTTGGGTAAAACCTTCTGTTCTTTTTGTCAGGTCCAAGTAAATAAACTGTATTAAAGAATAACCTGTTGCAGAAAGGATGTAAATATGCCTGAGAGGTCCAATAAATGGTGTGTAATTTATTTTATTTTTCCTGGTTTACAATTTAAGAAATAGTATAATATAGTGGGCATAGTCAAGAAACAGTAGGAGCACAAAATGTCTGGAATTAGGGAAGCTGTTTTCCAAATTCTGCTCTTCCACCTATGGGATCTTGGGCAAGGTTCTTTATTCTTTTGTTAATTCACTTATAAATCCAACAAACATGTCTTGAGTGTCTTCTATGTGTCAGACACTGTGGAAATCACTGAGAATAGAAGGGTAACAAAGTCCTTGCTCTTATAAAGTGTGGCAGGCATGAGAATGTGTCTTAGATATCTCCAACTACAGAAGCAAAATTGCCTGAGGGCCTCAGTCTATACTCTGAAATGCACTGTAACATTTGCACCAGGCTACACTTTCCATGGGTTGCTCCCTACCAGTGGCTGCAGCATAGATACTAAGACAAGTCCATTCCTGGAAAACAGGGCTTGAAAACTTAGTGATAGTCTTGCTGAACATTCCTTAGAATAGCAGTCTAGTTCACTTCAACCCAACCTTTCTTTCCTCCCTCTGTCACTCAGGATCCAACTTGCATCACATGCTCAGAGCTCTCTCAACTTATGCTCCTCCCCTACCCCCCATTTTCTCTCTCATGCATTTCCCCTAATGAAAATCCTTACACATTTAATCCCATGAATGTGCACCTTGGTGTCTGCTTCTTAGAAAATCTAGACTAACATATGAACTATGTATTCTAGTGAAGGAGACAAAACATAAACAAGTAAATAATAAGGTAATTTCAGATAGTGATAATTACTTAAGGTAATAAAATATCATAGTGGAATTATCAGGGGTGGTGGGTGGGGACAAGGACATTGTTCTTTAGCTTGAATGGGCAGGGAAGACTTCTGTCAGGAGTTGACATCCAGTTGAAAGCTGAATGATGAGATGTAAAGATACTGGGCTAGAGCAGTCTGTGCAGCATGAAGGGCTGGAGCCCACCAGAAGCTGTGAGGGGGCCTCCAACACCACCACAGACCTCTGGTCTGATCAGGGAACTGCTTGGAGTCTATACAGTGACACTGCAGTAGAGAGCAGGCACAGCAGGGATCTGGTGGCTACCCATCTTGGGTTACTGCAACTGACACCATTCTGTGCTCTCAGGTACAGGGCTCCAGGTCTGCACAGGGCTTGGCTTTGCAATAGCCACCTTTGCATTGCCCCTGCTAGGCCGGGGAGGGAGCGGGTAAAGCAGACACTCCCCAGCGCCATGCCCTGTGACTGAGAACCAAGCACTCCTCCCCCACAATGCAGGCTTTGAGCAGAAGAAGGGGCCCCACAGACTGGATAGACACCACCTAAGAAGCCTTGTGGCAACTGCCGCCATGGGACCTGGGCAGAAGGAAAACCCTGGCCACCTGGTGGCCCTGGCCCACAATCCCACCCCCCATGACCCCCATTCTGAGCCCCCCCAACCCTGCACAACTTCACTTTTGTGGTTCCCCCGCTGCTGTCTGACCCTGTGGCCTTGCCCATGAGTCTCCTGCCCGGCCTCCAGGCCGCAGCTCAGACTCTGAGCCTGCCGCTGTGCCGGAGGCTCCAGTTCTGCCCCTGCTCTGCCCCTGAGGCTCCAGCACTCCTGTCAAGCTCCCTGGCTCTGCCACCAAGGCTTCATCGCAGCTGCCAGGACCGGGGCTCCGCCCTGGCGGCTTCAGCACTGCCCTCAGGTCTGAGACTCTGTACCCCTTCTCCAAGACTCCAAGGCTGCTGCAGGGCCCAGGGCTCCACCCTCAGGCTCCAGCGCTACTCTGGGGCCCCAAGGCTCCTCCCCTGTGGATCTAGTGCTCTTGCCAGCCCATGATTCCATCCCCGAGATTCCAGCACTGTGCCTGGTCCCCGATGCTCCACCCCTGAGGTTCTACCACTGCTGCTGCCAATGATCCACCAGGGACCCTCCAGCCTCCAGCTGCCATTACACCTGGACCGCTTTTGAGCAAATGCCCACAGCCTTGACACCGATGGCTACTGCCTAGATAGCCTCACCCAGCTATCACTTCCCCTCCATGGGGAGACCCCAGGCAGAGCAATCTCCTACAACACCAGCATCCATGACAGGGTCTCACCCAAACCACAGTTCGAGCTTCCAACAACAATCTGGGGAACAACACGCTACTCCACACGAAGGTATTCCAGACCCAGCTTGAACCGTGACAATCACATGTAAACGGGACAAAACAGAACAGCTGTATTACAGGCGCTCATTGAGCCCGCCCCTCCCCTGTTGGGTCAATCTTCCAGAGTGGGAGACAAAACACCATCTAGACCTCCCCTTCTTCTCATTAAGTAGGAGAGTTCCCAGTAAAGGAGAACAGGTGCACTGCAAACCTATTAGTCCTGAGCTGAGAGGAGAGGATTCAGATGAGAAGAAATCAGCAAAAGAACTCTGGCAACATGAGGAAATGAAACAGTTCATCACCCCTAAGGAATCTCAAAGGATCTACAGTAGTAGACCCCAACCAAAAGGAAATTGTCAAAATGTCAGAAACGGAATTCAGAACATGGATGGAGACTAAGATGAATGGAATTAAAGAGAATGTTGAAAACCAACAAAAAGAAGCCGAAAAAATATTTCAGGACAGCAATTAAAAAAATGAAAAAGTTGCTAAAGAGCTAGACTACACCAGAAAGGATGTAACAGAACTTAAAGAAATGAAAACATCATTAGGGAATTTCGAAATACAGCAGAAAGCTTCAGCAACAAGCTAAACCAAGCAGAAGAAAGACACTCGGAACTTGGAGACAAAGCTCTTGAGTGAACCCAGTCATTCAAAGACACAGAAAAGAGAATAAAGAAGACTGAACAATCTCTCAGAGAAATATGGGACTATGTGAAGTGAACTAATATATGTATTATAAGTATCCTTGAGGGAGAAGAAGAAAAAGTAAAAAGCACTGAAAATCTTTTTTTTTTCTTTTTTTCTTTTTTACACTGGGAGAACTTTGTGCTAGGAAAATATATTCAAGGGAATTATTGAGGAAAACTTCCCTAGTATTGGGAGAGATTCAGATATCCAGATCCAAGATGGTTATTGAACATAGGGAAGATTCATAGCAAATAAGACATCTCCAAGACACACAGCCATCAACTTGGCCAAAGTCAAAATGAAGGAGAAAATTCTACAGGCAGCAAGACGAAAGCAACAACTAACCTACAAAGGAAAATCCATCAGGCTAAGGGCAGGTTTCTCAGTAGAGTCCTTACAAGACTAAAGGGATTGGGGCCTCATCTTCAGTCTTCTTAAACAGAACAATTGCCAGCCAAGAAAGAATCTTGTATGTTGCAAAACTAAGTTTCATAAATGA